AACATTTCATTAAAATTAACCCAAAGGGCAAAATGCTACAGTTTTTTTTTTAAGTTATACAATTTAGCTGCGGACACCCTTTAATAGAAAGCTCTCAATTAATAACTGTGGAAGCAAATGAAGAAAACGATGCTGGGTCATTACGTCGAATGTTTACTAGGTCGAATGGCCATTAGGCCGAATCACGGTTCGGAAAATTATTTTTTCAACGCTTAGTGAAGAAAATTAGCTAGTCTGAAAAATAGATCGAACAGCCAGCAATAGAAAAGGCAAGTCCATATTAACTCTAAAATCCTCAACGTCAAAAGGCTACCACATTTCAATTTAAAACATTTTCAGAATAAAAAGATTGTTTCAAAATCCTATACAGCTCATCAAAACTTGAGGAGTTTGCGTTTTTTTAGATGGATAGATAAAACATCAGATCAGAAATGACGGAGTTATGATAGTTTTAGCATGTTTCAGTATCAGACATTGGAGGTTTGAGAGTTAAAGAAGAAGGAAAAACTGCTAAAGAAAATCAAATAGAAAGAATGATCAGTTTGGATTCAAATTGCAAATTTTGTTCATGGTGCCAAAAATCACGAAAACAGTAAAACTCGAAAGAACTGTGCATGTTTGAAAGAAAAAATTAAAAACGTTATACAGTAATGACCCGATTTTACTAAACCCATTCACTTTTTTTTACAGTTGTCTTATTGCACCACTCAAGTAACCAAATTCATAAAATTATGTTGAGTAAACTGCTATACAACCAAAACCAGTCATACAAAGATAATATAAACTGTTATAGGACATGTGTGTTGCTTGGGCAAAGTATACCTTAAACATCCATCTTGAAGATGAATGAGAAATGTTTGGATTTTTTTTTAAACTAGTTCGTTCATTTACTAGGCTCAGTCGTGTGTGACACTTTGCGGAGCCAAAAATCAGTAATGCTTGAATTTACATTTTAAACAGCAGTAGTTCTAGGTTAGTATTGGGTACCGCTAGAACCTCTAGGCACATATGGTGTGTTGAATGCATACAGCCAAGGGCAATACGTAAACAACGATATTGAATGCGTTCCAATTTAATTAGGTGACTTTTTCTTGCTGAGAGGAAGCAAAAAGAGCCATACTCAAGAACTGAAAGAATAGTCGTTTTATACAGTTTAATTAGGTCTTTCGGGTGAGCACCCCACCATGTCCCGAAAATTGACACTTTTGTTTCAAATACGTAATGTGGGAACCCCAAGTGCATTTTGAATCAAACCAGACTCCAAGGTATTTGAAGCTTAAAGATTGGGTAATGTCTCTGCCCAAAAGATTTAGACGCAGTTGGGCTGGAAACCGCTTCCTTGTAAACACTACCAATGCAGTTTTTTGCGGTGAAAACTCGATCCGTATATTTCTTGCCCAGAAAGACAGATTATTTAGGGAATTTTTCAATGGTCTTTGCGAGATCACTAGCACGGCATCGTCTAAGCGTGCATCGATTATCTAAGCAATTATCAATATCTTTGACATAGAAATTATAAAGTAAGGGACTTAAACATGAACCTTGGGGTAAGCCCTTGTAGCTAATTCTAGAAGTTGTCAGTTGACCTAGATTGAAGGTCATTTATTTTTCTGACAGCAAATTATACATGAAATTGTTTAAAATACCGGGTAATCCACTACTGTGCAAATTGTCTGACAGTATGTCTATGGAAACAGAATCAAATGCACCCTCAATATCCAAAAAAAACTGAAGCCAATTGCTCCTTGTGCGCAAAGGCCAGTTGAATATCAGATGAAAGCATCGCTAGACAATCGTTTGTTCTTTTAATCTTTCGGAAACCAAATTGCGTATTTGAAAGTAGGTTGTTTGATTCAACGCAATGGTAATGTTTGGAATTACGGCTATGTGAAATTATTGAAAGTTAAAAGTCTGATGCTTGCTGTATGTTGATTACTTACCAAATTCCTAAACCTGAATCTTCGAAAGTTCAGTGCACCTATAAAATTACTTCAATACCAAAAAAAATCATCCAAGTCTCATAGATTGGTGTGAGAAAAGAACAACTAGCTTTTAAAAGAAGGAAAAATAATGTGATGGCATGTTTTGTTCATGGTGCCAACTAACACGAAACCAGTTTAAGTAATAATGGCAGTAATTGCTTGTCAAGCCTGAACCATCCAAATTTCGGGGGATATAAGTTAAGCAATTTCCTTTCTCAGTGTCAATTACTCAGGCATCACTTGACACTGAATCGACAAGTAGTGGGCGAAATACGGGTATCTGTCAAAAGATAAGCAAATATAAAGGGATTAAAAGAAAATAACTTCATATGGGATTCCGTTTAGACGCTTGACAAATTTAAGACATCAAAAAATTACAGTCAGAGCTCTTTCAACAAAATTTTTCAGGTTTGGAAAAATCATCTAAATGATGAAAATCTTTAAAACATAGTTATGCCTAGAAGCTCGTCAAACTTTTTTTTATTTCTGGGGAAGCAGGAAACCATTCGGCCTGATGACCATTCGACCTAATGACCATTCAACCAGTCTCGATTTGCCTTAGTGACCTACGGCCTAATGGCACTGCAATTGCTAAGGCTTGGTGGCACTTTCATAACCTTTTCTATCGTGAGTCCACATGGTTTTCAATAACATTTTCGCATGCTAATCCCAAGTAACAATTTTAGCTTTATGATGGTTCTGAAGACCATGATTCAGACTTGTAGCATGCTATAAAACCTCTATTAAACTTGCAATGTTACTAGGGAATGTCTTCTTGATCTACATGGTAGTTTCGACAAATTGACGTTTGAAGCCATTCCCAAGGATTTCGGTTTTTTTTAAGTATTCAAGTCTACTCTAAGCCTCATAAACCTCTTCAAAACCCTGATAAAACCAAAATTGTTACTTGGATTGCTTCCAAAAGTAATACTCAGTACTAAGTAAGTAGTACACTTCACACTTAGAAAAAATCATGTAAATTTAGGTGCTCTGAGACTGACATATACGAGCGTCAATTTTGACATAAAATCGAGTTATAATAGACGCGAAATTCAGCTCAATCAAACGTACTTTTCGTCGAGTAATTTTACATGACATGTTTGTTTACGTCTCATCCTTTATGTCAAAGGTGAATTCCGTCACGTGTAAAATTATATATTTCTAAGTGTGTTGTTAAAAATTGGATGAGGTAACAACATTTTGTGACGTATGTCTGCTACTTGAGCAGTAATTCATACGTCGATAGGACTATTTGCTCGATATTTTAAATTGAGGGCGGGACATTTAAAAAAGGAAATATGGCATACCTTCTCGTTACCATGTTATAGCAAAGAGGTGTTCCACATAATTGACATATTCCAGAACTATTGAAGGTCCTCCATCGTGATAAAATTATCAATTTCTACGATACGGCCACTCAAATTTCTATACACATCTTATAGTTCAATTAAGAAAAGGGTATGCGCCTTCGCACGCTTTTACAATACTCATTACATAGATTTGCCTTACGACTACAACATTTTTACTATATTCAGAGAATCAGGATCTTTAGATCCTCTCTTGCTCTTACGCACACGACAGGGAGACGCATGGCTGAACAAGTAGTTGATGCTCGTTTGCCGAGTTCCTCCAAGATTCAGTTTTCAACTAGGTTCCTCATTAATCCTTTAAATTTGTCGAACCTCTTAACGGAATCCCTTTATGAAGAGCTAGGAGTGGGTGGGTATATTTCCTTTAAATTCCGTTATAATTGCTTATCTTTTGACAGATACGCGTATTTCGTCTACTACTTGCAGACTTCATCAGTGCCAAGTACTCACCACCACAGTGATGTTGAGTACTTGGCACTGATGAAGTCTGCAAGTAGTAGACGAAATACGCGTATCTGTCAAAAGATAAGCAATTATAACGGAATTTAAAGGAAATATACCCACCCACTCAAAGCTCTTCCTCATTAAGCCAATTGATCAAGTTTTCTACTTCTTTGCCTTTTACTGTCCAATGGTTCCAATATGATGCCCAAAATCTCCCCTCAATTGAGAAGCAAACAAAAGTAGGCGTTCAAAAAAAAATGTCTACCCGATGGCAACTCGTTCATTATCGCTGCTTCGAATTCGAGAACGTATTCAAGCACACAATCCTAATTGAAGGATAATCGAGTTCAATTTAGTTATTTGAATTTAAAATTTAATTTTATTCACAGGCTCATCTAATAGCAGCACTAACTACATACGCCAGCCACGTGGAAAATCAAATACTTGTCGCACGTGTGAATAACTCACGCGATAATTTCCCCGCGCACTAATGTGACGTTGAGCTCGCAATTGTGCAATCCTTTTTACCCAGTTTTTTTTTCCCACGCATTAAACACTATCTAACCGTAAAAAATAATAATTAAAAAGCCTCGTGTGACAGCATGCCTAATTTTTTTCATCCGCAGAGACTGACATTCCATAAGTGATGCAAAAACGAAAAAAAAAGAACACATTCGACAAAACGTGTTAAACCAGAGCCTACTGAATTTCACGTGACGCCCGGCGAAGAGACAGCGAGCTGCTTGCTGTTTTTGTTTGTTTGAAAAATCGAAACATATCAGCATTTTTTCACTAATTAACTATTATTTATGCATGATTTATTCATATTTTATTTTCTCGTATTGTCCCCGTCCGTGTTCCCATGCATGCACGTCCCAATAATCGAATATGTATGTACCTATATTCCCTATCTCCCAATTCATGCCACAAAAATCCATCATCCATCCGTGTTCGTGTACCAAGTAGCGCCAGTAGCCGTTTGTTGTCGTTGTCCCTTGTGGAGATTTTGGTTTATTTTCGATTTTTCGAGGTTGGCCAATACTTTTCCATCGATTATATCCGCTGAACGCAATTATCTTAGGATCGTACTGAAAAACAGGACCATGGGTGTTTGTAATTCGAGTGACAATTATTTCAGCAATTGAAAAAGTTTTTCCAACAATCAGACTTAAATGGTGTTTTTCTGTTTCTTCCCACAACACAGCCGGTCGGCCGTCATCCGAGGTCGGGTAGTGACGTCGCTGCAGATGGGACTGGTCGGAGTGCGCGTCAGCACGTCTACACCCCTGGAGGGCTTCACACTGACCCGCGACGACGGATGGTTCGATTTGATGGTCAACGGAGGCGGCGCCATTACGTTACAATTTGGAAGATCACCATTCCGGCCGCAGACCCGAATCGTACAGGTTCCTTGGAATGAGGTAGTCATAATCGACACCGTCATCATGTCAACTATGGATGATAAGGAGAAAACTGGACCACCGCATACCTGTTTCTCGCACGACTACGACTCGATGAAGCCCGTGGTGCTGGCGACGTGGAAACACGGCTTCCAGGGAGCTTGTCCTGATCGTAGCGCGATCCTGGCGGAATCTCAAGTCGTTCAAGAATCCCTGGCAATTCCTGGAACGGGACTAAACTTGGTATACCACAGCAGCAGAGCTGCCGGCTACTTGTCAACAATCAAACTACAATTGACTCCGGATACGATTCCACCAACACTGAAGCTGATACACCTTCGAATCACCATCGAAGGTATCCTGTTCGAACGAGTCTTCGAAGCCGACCCAGGAATCAAGTTCACCTATCCGTGGAACAGGCTCAACATCTATCGTCAGCGAGTTTACGGCATTACCACGGCGGTCGTCAAAGTTGGCTACCAATACACCGATTGTAAGGACATCATTTGGGATGTTCAAACCACCAAGCTGAGCGGTCACGATATGAGTATTTCCGAAGTGGGTGGATGGAACCTGGATATTCACCATCGGTACAACTTCCACGAAGGTATCTTGCAGAAGGGTGATGGTTCCAACATTTACCTGAAGCACAAGCCTCGGGTGATCCTGACTACCATGGGCGACGGACATCAACGGCCGCTGGAATGTACCGACTGCAACGGAATTGCCTCAAAGCAGAAATTGCTGGCACCGGTAGCCCTAGCAGCAGCTCCAGACGGTAGTCTGTACGTTGGTGACTTCAACTACATCCGTAGAATCATGATCGACGGTACCGTGAAGACTGTAGTGAAACTCAACGCCACTCGAGTTTCCTATCGCTATCACATGGCACTGAGCCCACTTGATGGTTCACTGTACATCTCTGATCCCGAATCCCATCAGATCATCAAGGTTAAGAACAAGGACGATTCGCATGATCCAGAGCACAATTGGGAGCCGGTCGTTGGCAGCGGAGAACGATGTCTACCTGGTGATGAAGCTCACTGCGGAGATGGAGGTCTAGCCCGAGATGCCAAACTGGCTTACCCGAAGGGGGTTTCCATTTCCTCGAACAATGTCCTGTACTTTGCCGACGGCACCAACATCCGTATGGTAGATCGGGACGGAGTCATCAAGACCTTAATCGGTAATCACATGCACAAATCACACTGGAAACCAGTTCCCTGCGAGGGAACGCTCAAGATTGAAGAAATGCACCTTCGCTGGCCCACCGAGCTCACTATAAACCCGCTGGACGACACACTGCACATCATCGACGATCACATGATCCTCCGGATGACCCCCGATGGTCGCGTACGAGTTATCGCCGGTCGGCCCCTGCACTGTGCTTCGGCTTCCCCGACAACCTTCGATTCGGATCTCGCCGCTCACGCCACCCTAGTTATGCCACAAAGCATCGCTTTTGCTCCATCCGGCGATCTCTACGTTGCGGAAAGCGACTCGCAAAGAATCAACCGTATTCGAGTGATCGGCACCGATGGAAAAGTAGCCGCCTACGCTGGAGCCGAATCCAAGTGCAACTGCCTCGAGCGAGGTTGTGATTGCTACGAAGCCGACCACTACCTAGCTATCAGTGCCAAATTCAACACTATCTCGGCCATCACCGTCACACCCGATGGCCACGTGCATATCGCCGATCAGGCCAACTACCGCATCCGATCGGTTATCTCAAGTCTTCCAGAAGCGGGCACCTCCAAGGAGTACGAAATCTATGCCCCCAACGCGCAGGAGATCTATGTGTTCAACCGCTTCGGCCAACATATCGCCACCAAGAATATCATGACTGGGGAAACGACGTACAGTTTCCTATACAACGTCAACACGTCCAATGGTAAACTAAGCACCGTTACGGACGCCGCCGGAAATAAGGTGTTCCTGTTGCGAGACTACACCTCCCAGGTAAACTCAATCGAGAATACCAAGGGTCAAAAGTGCCGGCTACGGATGACGCGTATGAAGATGCTGCACGAACTGAACACTCCGGACAACTACAATGTCACATTCGATTATCACGGACCAACGGGCCTTCTGAAGACGAAGCTCGACTCAACGGGACGCTCGTACGTGTATAACTACGACGAATTCGGTAGGTTGACCTCAGCTGTCACTCCGACCGGAAAGGTCATCGACCTCTCGTTTGATCTAAGCGTCAAGGGAGCTACCGTTAAGATAACGGAAAACTCGCAGCGAGAAGTTTCCATGCTGATTCAGGGATCATCGGTTGTGTCGCGAGTTGGCGAAGCTGCCACCAAGACTACGGTTCAGGTTGACGGAGGTACCACCAGTGTTTCACCATGGGGCAATACGGTTTCAGTTGAATCGGTGCCGTACATTCTGCTAGCGGAAATCGATCCTTTACTGGGTGAAAGTTACCCAGTGCCGTCGAAGCAGCGAACCGAGATCAATGGAGACCTGTCGAACCGCTTCGAGTGGAGATACTTTATCAGGCATGTTCCGGTTAGGGGTAAGAATTCTCGTTCACTGACTCAGGTCGGAAGGAAGCTGCGCGTGAACGGAGAGAATCTCCTAACGTTCGAATTCGAGAAGGACAGCTCGTCGATCACCGTTTCGGTAGACGATAAGACTGAACTGTTGAATGTAACCTATGACAAGTCTTCCCGACCGATTTCCTATCGTCCGCAGTCAGGTGAGTACGCTGATGTAGATTTGGAGTACGATCGCTTTGGACGGTTGATCTCGTGGAAGTGGGGTAACCTCAAGGAGGAATACACCTTCGATCGAGCGGGTCGTTTGAACGAGATCAAATACGGAGACGAAAGCTCGATTGTGTACGCATTCAAGGACACGATCAGTAGTCTACCGTTGAAGGTGACAACGCCACGTCGATCAGATTACCTACTGCAGTATGATGATGCGGGGGCATTGCAATCGCTGACGACCCCTAGGGGACATATCCATGCCTTCTCGCTGCAGACTTCGCTAGGGTTCTTCAAGTATCAGTACTTCTCCCCGATCAATCGCCATCCGTTTGAGATTCTGTACAACGACGATGGGCAGATCTTGGCCAAGATTCACCCGCATCAATCCGGAAAGGTGGCGTTCGTGTATGACAGTGCTGGACGACTGGAGACGATTCTGGCCGGGTTGTCCTCCACACAATACACCTATCAGGAGAGTACGAGCCTGGTGAAGATGGTTGAAGTTTTGGAGCCAGGATTTGAGCTGAGAAGAGAATTCAAGTACCATGCCGGAGTGATGAAGGACGAGAAGTTGAAGTTCGGTTCGAAGAGTGCTCTGGCTTCGGCACACTTCAAGTACCAGTACGATGGCAATGCACGGATGAGTGGAATCGAGATGGATATCGATGGAAAGGATTTGCCGATTTTGCGGTACAAGTATGGCCAGAGTTTGGGAACGCTGGATGCGATAAGTGATCTTAGGATTACGAGGAATGCGTTCAATCGGACGGTGGTGCAGGACACTTCGAAGCAGTTCTTCACGATTACGGACTTTGACGAGCATGGTCGTGTGAAGAGTGTGTTGATCAACATCAAGTCGTTCGATGTGTATCGTTTGGAGTTGGATTATGATCTGAGGAATAGAATCAAGACGCACAAGGTGATGGTGGGTCGTGTGACTTCGCTGGATAAGGTGAACTACAATGCGGATGGCCACGTGAGTGAGGTTGTGGGAACGAACAGCTGGAAGTATCTGTACGACGAGAATGGTAATATAATTGGGATATTGGAGCACGGTGACAAAACAAATCTGGGATATGACACCGGTGATCGAGTGGTGCAGGTCGGAGACGTGGAGTTCAACAGCTACGATGCCCGAGGCTATGTGGTAAGGCGAGGTGAGCAAAAGTATCGATACAACAACCGAGGTCAATTGATCCACGCTCTGGAACGCGACCGCTTCCAAACCTGGTACTTCTACGACGACATGGGCCGACTGGTGGCCAGTCATGATGAGAAGGGCAACGTAACGCAGTACTTCTATGCCAACATCAACTCGCCGGAACTGATTACGCACATTCACTACCCGAAGGTGTCCAGGACGTTCCGGTTCCTGTACGACGATCGGGATATGTTGGTAGCGGTGGAGACGGGCGAACAGCGGTACTACGTGGCAACCGATCAGAATGGATCGCCAATCGCGTTCTTCGACATCAATGGTAACATTATGAAGGAGGTTCGCCGAACTCCGTTCGGTAAGATTGTGAAGGATTCGAACCCGGACTTTTTCGTACCGATCGACTTCCATGGTGGATTGCTCGATCCGAATACTCGACTGGTGTACATGGAGAAACGATTGTACGATACAGCGGTGGGACAGTGGATGACTCCTTCGTGGGAACAGCTGGCTACGGAGATGCAATTGCCGACGGATGTGTTCATCTATCGATTCCATAATAACGATCCAATCAACCGGAAAGAGCCGATGAACTACATGAACGATCTGAAGTCCTGGTTGAAGCTGTTCGGATACGACGTGACCAAGATGCAGGGATCGAAGTACACTAAGGATATGATCTACAAACCGAATGCTATGATCAAGTCACCACAGTTGGCGCCGGACTTTGGCGTGATGTCTGGATTGCAGTGTATTGTTGAGAAGGTAAGTTCGGTTGGATTAGGAGGGGTGGATTATTGATGAGTTTTTCTTTTATTAAATAGGTGGACGAGAAGTTCTCCGACTTTGGATTTGTGCCGAAACCGTTGCTAAAGATGGAACTGAAGACGAGGAACTTGCTGCCAAGGGTGGCCTACCGACGAGGAGTGTTCGGTGAGGGTGTACTGATCTCTCGGATCGACGGACGGGCGTTAGTCAGCGTCGTTGATGGCTCAAACAGTGTAGTTCAGGACGTTGTGTCGTCGGTGTTCAACAGTTCGTACTTCCTAGATCTACACTTCAGCATCCACGATCAGGATGTGTTCTACTTTGTCAAGGACAATATCATGAAGCTACGTGATGACACGGAAGAGCTTCGCAGACTGGGTGGAATGTTCAACATCTCGACACACGAGATCAACGATCATGCGGGAACGAACGGCAAAGAGCTGAGGTTACATGGACCGGACGCGGTCGTGATCATCAAGTACGGTGTCGATCCCGAACAGGAGCGACACCGAATTCTGAAGCATGCTCATAAGCGAGCAGTCGAGAGAGCTTGGGAACTGGAGAAGCAGCTGGTGGCTGCGGGCTTCCAAGGGCGGGGCGACTGGACGGAAGAGGAGAAAGAAGAACTGATATCGCATGGTGATGTCGATGGATGGGTCGGTGTCGACATTCACAGCATACACAAATATCCTCAGCTGGCGGACGATCCGGGCAATGTGGCCTTCCAGCGGGACTCGAAGCGGAAACGACGGAAGAGCGGAGGATCGCACAAAACGCTAGCGTTGCGGCAACACAGGCACGAAAGCTCGTGAAATAGTACTGGCGCTTTCGCCGCCACGTTAGCAACCCCCTCGTTAGTGTAATATCTCTATCCGATCTGTGAAGCTTTCCAAAAAAAAAAACAAAAATGAAACGTTGCGAAAACAAGATTTAAGCAAATTTCAAAGAGCGCTCTCTCTTTTAAGGAAAATCTTTCTCCGAGAACTGATTTGAAGAAAGAGACGTAAATATTAGAAATATTGTGATACATAGATTTATTTTGGATTATTTTCGTAGGATTAAACAAAATGAAGATAACGATTACGGAAAAGATGATAAGATTGTGCAAAGAAAAAAAAAATACTGTGGCAGTGACAAGTTTTCTACACTTGAGTAAGCTCTTTCTCATTCAAAGAGAATCAAATGACGAAAACATATAGCAGAATGATAATATCAGCAAAAGATACACAACACATACACACACAGAAACAAAATCACAGGAAGCGAAACACACCACTGAGAAGAGAAAACCCAAATTGAAAAAAAGAACACATATTTTTATAGAGATCCCTGGCAGCAAAAAAAAAACAATAAGAAATGCTACAAATTATAAAACGTAAAAATATGGTTTCCGCCATGTTGTGAATGTCGTCATTTTTTCTACGAAACACCGACCCATCATCATCATCAGCAGCAGCAGCATCACAACCAACCGAATCAGAGGATCCGATCGGATAAACAATAATCAATAGCTGTTAGAGACAAATGAAAAATGTAAAAGTCCCCTTGAAGAAAAAAAAAGTCATCAAAATATTAAATGATATAAAACAAACGAATCAAATCAAAACAGTAACACACTCATTGACACTCACATACACACGTATCCACTCAGCAAAGATGAACGAAACACACAAACACATACATAGTCATTACACTCTAAAAAAAATTGATCAGAGTAGGCCAGAAGAGAGAAAAAACAATATTATCATTTTATATATTTTGCAAAGAATGAGAGAGAAAGAGAGAAATAGAAGAAGAAGGGGTAAGGAAGCATACAATGGAGAAAAAACTTATAAATAGTGGAGAATGTAGTTAATTAGATGAAAATTAAATGTGAAATTGTGAATGTCTTTAGCGTGTAAGAAGCAAATAATTTTTAAGATTTAAGAAGCAAAACAACATGAACACACACACATAGTAGAATATGAAAATTAAAAAAAAAATACACAGACTCAAACAGAACAGAAGTAAGAAAAAAACAAATTGGTGTTGTGCGAACAGTGCCATTGGAACTAGTCGATGCTGTGTCACCGTCGTCGAAGACGGCAACAACGACGCATATAAAACTGAAAAATTAACTGACATTTGAAAAAGACTCACAACAACAACAACAAAACCGGAGACAACTCAAAAATGGTCGTGGAGATATTTTTACAAAAACAAAAGAATCTTAATGAAATAACACAAAAGCAAAATAAAGTAAAACGGACTGACTGAGAAATCTCGAATGAGAAAATGAAAAACTCAAATGCGGATTAGAAAATTAATCAACGGAGCAGAAGTTACAAGTGGTGCCATATAAAACCGGAGACGGAGGAAAAGCGCATAGAAGCGATGTGAAGAAAAAAGGGAACGATAAGACACTTAATTAATAGGGTGACAAAGGAAAGAAACAAAAAAATCGTTGTACAGTAATTTAGAAACTTAGTGATAAAATGACAAAGTGAGACAAAAACAGAAAGCAGAACCGAACATTGAGTAGTGAAATCTTCTCCTTCTGCAAATTTTACTGATTTTATCTGGTCGCCAAACGCGTGGTTGCGCTGGCAACACTGTTGCCATCGCATTCCGTTGCTAGGCAACGACCGTCTCCCTCTACATAAATATAAACAACACCCAAACAGTGCGCGTGTAGTAGTGAATCATGGCGTCGCACGTGTTTGTGCGATTTTAATTTGTGCAGAGAAACGCTGTTTTAATTTCGATTCAGAATCGAGCTTAACGTGAGAAATGAAATGTGTAAAAATAAAACAAATGTTAATTTAACTACTCTTGATACACCACAAACGAAACGAAATCATACATACACAGACACAAATCCGTCTTGCTTCCTGATTTTAAACTGATAAGTAGAGAAAAACAAAAAAAAGAAAACAATCTCTAGCAAATGTCGATATAGTAAAAAAAAAAACAACTCGAATGGTTGACAGCAAAACAGACAGTAAAAAAACAAAAGAAGAACAACGGTAAATTCTCTCTTTTCTTGGCTTCTACAGGGTATTTGTAATAAATTCATATAGAAAACAGAATAACAACTTACAAACCACGATACAAGTGAAATAGGACATCTGTATTCAGAGAACAATTCCAGAAATCTGCAAAAGAAAATAAACTAGTTGAATGAAATAGATAATGGCAAACAATACCAAGCAACATAATACAAGTAGAAAAAACAGACACGACGGAAAGCTGTCGGAAAAGACGGCAGTGAAATGGGAAATTTTCTTCTTTTGACGCAGCAACCACTCAAACACCAACACACATGTATACTCGTTTCCTCAGAATACTATCACCAATACTCGCTCATAACAACATTAGACTATTGTTTTTTAGCATTTTCCTCGATCGTTTTAACTGAAGACAACCGTAAACCAAAGGACGCTTATGAATGGATTTTCCTCAAAACTCAGTTTTACATGCTTTCCATTAAACAATATAGAGACACACGCTCTCGCACACAATAGTAGTTTATCGGAGATTTTTTGTAATCGATCTATTTTACGATTCTTAGTAAAAGTTAATATGACTGCATGCCCCCTCCATTTTTCCCCTGTGTATAAATATCACCACCTCTTCCTGTGGTGCTGGACTTACGTTGACAAAGCTCGGTACTTCTCGGATCCTTTAGCGCGAGATACATTTACATGAACGTAGAAACGTAGAGGATTACTACTACAGAAAATAGAAGGGAAAAACTAAAAGGAACGTTGAACTGAAAAGCAATAAAAAAGAATAAGCTTTGTTTCTACGACTCTGTTGCAACTGCTCTCGATGCGAGAGTGGAAAAGACTTCTTTCTGTGACTCGATGTGTTAGTTTCCGGAAAAACGTCCAAAATTGTGCAATCCGAAAATTGTTTCGAATCAACCACGCCTTTGCTGATTGATAAGTCCCACGTTTGTAAAATTATGTATATAATTTGTATAACAAAAAAAAGTGTATTTATTGTTTTCTGACTATCCCACTTCCACGAAATCCTAGTTTTAACTAAACGAAAGGCATTTCTCAAAAATGAACCACTGTTCATTTTTCAGTTAACTAAAAAATGTGTACATATAGATTCAAGCAACCCGGTCACTTTTCTCTCGCTCAGCTGAGTTGTGCCAGAGGTTGATGAAACGATGGGAAATTACTTAGTTGTAGAACCTCTATATTCGTGAAACTTGTCGTTATCAAACAACCCAAACCGACACACACACATACCCCCACATCAATTGCTATAATATAGCGATACACTGTCGGTAATACCACAATTGGGACTTTTTGTAGGACCGTTCCCCATAAGTCTCTTTTTGTATACTTTTCCCAAAAACCCGCCACGAACTAGGACTGTAAAATCAAACGTTTTTAACAAACACATTGGCGATAACCAAATGAAAAAAAAAAGCCATTTGAGAAAAATCAAAGATGCATAACGAGAAATGTGAAAACAACACAAATGTTATCATTATTATTATCACTGTGGTCATGTGGAAACTGGCAGCAGTAGTGAGAAAACAATTGACAAACGAGAGAAACAAACATGACATGAAAAAGAAAAAGAAAACGAAAGCTAGTGAGTGAATCTCCTTTTTTTGTAATATATTAATGCTAGGGACAAACAAAAACGTATATAAAAAAAAAAGAAGAAAACACAACAACAAATAAAACAGTAAATTAACAACAACAACAACAACAAGAAAAAGTTGTATGAAGTATAGAAAAACCTTAAAACAAGAAAAAAAAAATTAGTGGTAAATAAATTGAAGCAAATTGACGAAGAGCGACAAACATAAGAAGCGAAGAAAAAAGAAACACTGTAAAAATTATGGGTAGTGCGGAGGAAGAATGAAAAACCGAAAAGCAACAATATTATTATTACGATTATTATTAATTATTATTATTCATGAAAAACTAATGATGAAAGATAAATAAAAAAATATTTAAAAAATAAATTCGGGATCACATTTTGAAGTCGTCAAACAGGTTATATCACATTCCATTTTGAAACTCTTTTCATTGGAAGACAGATAAACAAAAATCGATGTGTCCATTGAATAGTTTTTTTTTGTTTTACTTTATTTGGGATGTTACTGTTTAATTTTCTCAAAGTTCTGTACAAAGTTATCCTGAATCGGACATTTTACAAAAATCTTTTTTGAAAATTTTCCAAGATCCCAGAATGCACTTCGTAGCATTGAAGAAAATTTCAATGACAACTCCTTATGAATATTGAGGTGAACTGTTTATCCAGCTGAGTGCAATTGTTGAATCACTCCAAAGTCTGACTTGGTTAATTTCAACTGGTAGGGTTCGTGTTACTTGATAAGTTCTAAGCGCGGAATCGTGGCTCGATTGGCCTTGAGAGGTGCAACGTGCGATTTCAAACACAACAATTTTATTGAAATTTGACCTTTGACGTTTCGTGACCGGAGATACAGACAAGCCCCATAGCCCTTATTGGACGCATCACTAAAGCCTAATAGTTCGACACAGTTCGTGTTCTCAAGAGGAAGCACACAGCGGCTGATCCTGGCAGTTTCGATCGTGTGCAGTTGACGTCGATATTCGTTCCATACCTGTTCTTGTTCTGGATGCAACGCTACATCTCAGATTTGCTTCTGTCTCAATCAGTGCTGTTTATTTTCATATCATTCATTCATTCAATCAATTCTGTGAAGACAAATTATCACTTGACCATAATTTGAAGAGTCCCTTTCTCATTCGAAGCTCATCGTCACTGGTCAATTGAGTTACTCACTATTATTTGATATACGACAGTGGAGTATGGAAGAAATCCAGCAAAATGGTCCCGAACAGACAAGTCGACCCGTTGTCGGATCAAAGTAGGGTAAATTTAAAGTTGATGTCGACCCAATGTAGTGTTGTTGTCGGGTCAATTTTGGGTTTATGTCGGGTCAACATCGGGTTGGGGTTTGGTATAAGTCAGATTGGTGTCGGGTTGGCTTAGGCTTTTCGACCAGAGCTCCGTTTATGTGTACACACTTAGATTTTTTTGCCGAGACGGGCACCATCGAACAGCTCGGCATTTTATTTTGCTGGAAATTCAGCAAAAAATATGTTTGTTAGCTGAGATCTCGGCAAAATTCCCGTTTGTTAGCTGAATCTCGGCAAGTTTTTCACTGAGATCCAGCAAAATAAAATGCCGAGCTGCTCGGTGGTGCAGGTGAATCAAATAAAGTTCGTTTCCCTTTAAACAAAATTTTGAATAGAATATGGATCAATAAAATTGATAGAGTAATTCAACAAAAACATTGAGTTAAAATAATTATATTAACTTTATTAAATTGATCATCGGTAATTATTGATTCAAACAAAATGTTTGCTTGGATCAAATTGAAGCAATTTTTGAATCAATGTACGTTTTTTGTTGGCTTGAAACATCATTTTGATTATTTAAGAATCGTTTTTTTCAATGCCCAGGTTGTCTTTATTGAAAAAAATATTGCAAATAACATGTAAAAGTAGTAAGAAATACGAGAAGTCTTTGATCGATTGAGACAATTGAGCAGTCACTGTTTGTCACGTTCGCTTAATTAAGTTGGCATACTCGTCATATTCGCCAGAGCCAGAACCATTCTGGTGTTGATTCTGATGTTGTTGGTGTAAATGTTGACTATTTGTGTTGCTGGATCTGCTGTAAGTGCAGCGATGGTGGCTGATGATGACGATGATGGTTCAACAAGAGATGGTTCTCTTAAATCTTCTGAGCCAGACGTTGTGGTTGGAAATTTGATGATTATGCGCCTGGAAGTTTGGTGGAACCATATTTTGGAGGAATAGTGAGGGTCACTAGGAGGAGGTGGAGAAATTTTAATCGGCATCGGTAGCCGTTGTTTGTCTCAGCTCCTAATGCTTGAAGGAAGTTGGGCTTTTCCTAAATTTCGATGATGTTACATTACTTTTGAAGGTTCTCTTGCTGAATTGGAGGACGTGGCGTCAACATCTGGATTGCTACAACTCGGCTTGTTGTTATGGTTTGTGTCCACTGAGCATATCCACATCTGGAAATGTGAAATAATAGAAGATTCGTAGATGCTTATTTTGAAAGGTTCACCTTCCACCTACCTGGTTCTCCTGGTCGAAACACGTTTGCCATTGATTGCGGAATAGTAGTTTTCGGTATGCTTGGAATTGTCGAAACAAACTCTTGGATCTTCTTTTTAAAGAAATAACATGAAATAAATTAGAAATATTAACATAGTTGAAAAGATGTGAAATGCATGCCGACACAGACTGACAGTTTGACACATGCAGTTCAAACAATTTTATTATTTTGATTTAAATGGAGTGCTGCATTTATTTAAACCATTTTTACGAATTGAATCAAACATAAATTTCGTATTAAAAATAACAAAATATTTTGTTAATTTACGCCTGAGTGTTTTTTCTGCGTGTAAGTGTGTAGGTTACACTCAATTGAATGATGTCAAGCGTTTCTTAAATGAGAATGATCCATGCCTTCGTCAAGTGACTAAGCAACTGATACCACCCATTCGAAGGAGGTCCCCTTTGATAGCAGATAGCTACTTTTCTCATTTTCATCAAAAATGTTCAATTTTGAGAATTTACAGCACTGGTCTCCATAGTTCCTGCATCAGCAATTTTCCTGTCATCATGTGGAAAATCCTTCACTGAATGCTGCTAACGGAATCTCGAAACTAAAGATGTCTTGAGCGGGTTTCCAAGTTAACCCAAGTGTTTTTGTACGCCCTTCTTCGCTGAACAGCACCTTCGGCTCCAGTTTTTTTGGTAGGAAGATCCGCCTATACTTCTTTACGGTTCAAACGCCACTTGTGCAGGTCGAATCCAGCCGTTGCCAGCATGCCTTCAAACTGTCTCCGCATCTCCAAAACTTCCTCCACTGTCTCAGCACCGAACAATGCATCGTCGACATACACTGATTTTTTCCCAAATTGTGCAACTAATGGAAATTTTCCGGCTTCGTCTGCACATATTTGGAACAATATACGAGTGGATCGGGACTGGATCTCCACAGAATGTACAAGAATCGACGATCTTTCTTCCACACAAGCATTTGCCGGAACATTTTCGAAACATCTGTTGTTGCGACGACCTTGTGGACTCGAAAACCAAAAAAAAATGTTCACTAGATGGGGCTGAAGGGTTGGACCCACTAATAGAAGATCATTTAATGATAATCCATTGCTACTTTTCGCCGACGCATCGAAAACTACTCGAACCTTCGTCGTATTACTTTCCGGCCTTTGAATGGCATGATGTGGGATAAAATAGCACGTTTCCTTTGAAGGCTCGGAGGGATCGAATGTGATGACCTTTTCCATATGGCCCAAGTCTATGTACTCTTGCATGAACTTTCGGTATTCTGAGTACAAATGTCGATCCTTCATCAATCTTTTTTCGAGCAGAAGAAATCCACGATGAGCCATGTGACTAGAATCCCCCAATTCCCTGCCGATGTCCTTGAATGGCAGAGCGAGAACGTAACGACCAGATTCGTCACGATGATGTGTCGGCATGAAGTGATCTTCAGCCTGTTGTTCGTCAGTAGAGTAGATTCGTTCTTGACCATAGCTCTCCAGCTGCCAGAGTTTTACGAGTTGTTTGTTTAGCTGCTCGTTGGTTACCGGAAGCGCTTGCACAATAGAGTAGTTGTTCCTTTCGGTTACAGGACCTCCAGCAACCCAGCCGAATACGGTTTGACGAAAAGTTGGTTGACCATCCGAAAGTTTGTAGGTGCGACTCAACATCATTTTGTCCCAATCCAAGATGCCAAAAAGAATTTCCACCTTGGCCGTATGATTGAAGAGAGGGTCGGCGAGATCAATCTACTCTTGCTTATACTGAAAGATTGTAGCGGAAGTTTGGTTGTTATGCTGGGAGTGACGAGAAATTCAGAGATCGAATCGAAGAAAGCTGTTTTCGACCTCACATGTGCAACGACAGATTCTCCAATCTTCCGGCCTGCTTCTCCGAACCCAACAACCGAGACATTTGACGAGAAGATTTTGAGACGTAACTTATGCGCACAGGACGTAGTCATGAACGTACACATCGCGCAGGAGTCCAATACTGCTCGACACTGTTGAAGCTCACCATTACCACCACGAATGAACACGATAGCTGTATGCAACAACGCTTGATCGGTGGATACGAGAAGTTGACATTGTTTTCGAGTTTGAATTTCCGCTCGGAATGTGAAACGCCTCTGGTCCGGGCGCTTCCATCGAGACTGGAGAGCTTAGCTGATTGGGGTCGATGATTTTGGTAACACACAATCCGACACGGCTTGGACCAGCCTCAGGTTCAGCTTGTTGTCCGTTGCTGCTACCGATAACCTTCGAATTGTAATTATTTTTCGATGCACTGTTTGAAGGGTTCGATGACTTGGGTTCAAAATGGAGAAGGGTATTGTGGCATTGTCCCGAGGGGCACGCAATAACCTTTAACTCCTACGCAAGCCTTTTTTAAGTACAATAATTACAGTTAACTACATGATTAATTACTTTAACTACGAGCGTCGGAAATTTTTTGATTTAATTACTTTTAAGTACAAATTTCAGCTTTAATTACAAGTCGCATAAATTAAGTACATTAACTCCATTAATGTACAACGAGAAATGTACTTAAATTTCCCCCAGCGTACCGTTAGACCCTTTCGTAATTGGCCCGTGAAACAAAAATTTCACAGGCCCTTTTGCTACGTTAAGGATAATGTCAGTTGGTGATTGGTGCCAATTCACATACAACGATCGGTTCGTGATTGGAAATGTAGTCGGATTTTAAATACTGCCGAGGTGTTGGCAGGGCAATGAACTATATCCTGGATCACGCCCCTGTAAAAGCACCGGAGTATGCGACAATGAAAGGAATGTTTGTGTGTGCTACCTGGTTCAACCTAAGAAATAACGAATTTAATTTGGAGGATGCGAACGAAAACAGAATTACAATA